TAATTTTGTTTAAATGGAAATAATTTGAATAGGTTAAATTAAAGTGATGACTGGTAAGGTAATTGTGGTGTAGAATTTTGTTTGTATCCTTTGTAATGCAATAACAATCATATTCTGCACTTTCACGTATGTTCATCATTGATGAAATTGAAATCACTCACCTCAATGTAAAACCAGAAGAGTATTAATTTTCCTTGGAAAACCCGATGGTGTTCTGAAATATCAACTGTGATAATTTTCATAAAAAGAATTTGATAGAAACTCGATGAATTATTGACATAGGTGGTAAGAAATGGTATAGCTATAGTTACATGGCTATGGTGTAGTTCTGAATGAAATTGTACTGAAATTACTTTACAAAGTTACATGTGAATCGAATAAAGATACTGACACCATATAATATATACTTCATTTACCTGTACAGTACAGGTGAGCTTTATATATATGCCAATAAACTTGGTATAATTTTTGTGACTTTTCCATTGTTGTTTGTCAGTGCATGAATATGAATCACTACTTCTACGACAAATGTCACCTCTCATATATTGTTAAAAAAAAAAAGTAACATTAGGGTAATTTTTTATCAATTCAATTATACAAAGTGCAGAAGAAAACATGGACAGAACTGAGGAGAAATTCTTCTGTCTGTCTCCTGCATTCTCCAATCAGTTGAAGTTTCTGCAAATATTTGATCATAGTTTTTTTTTTTTTAATCTTTACTTGAATGTTATAAGATTAATTTTGTTTAAATTACGGTAGGTTTTAATATAAACTTAATTCATTATAAAATAATCTAATTATACCACGTTAAATTAGACTTTCTAATATATTATTTAGATTAATCCCATATATAATGAGATCAACCATGTTTTTACTTAAGTTTATTAATTACTTGAAACATATGTTTAAATTTAAGATATTAAAATAATTTTTTAACATAAAAGATAATTTTTTTTTAATTTTATGAACTAGATAAATTATTAAATCTAATTTCTTTTATGATATCAAATATTCAATTGTCGTGAAACAATACAAATTAATTACCTTTATTAGAATATTTTCTTTTAATTATATTTCTTAATTAAACTCAAAATCTGATTTAAAATGATTAAAATTTAATATCACCGATGACGAACTCTTCTTACATGATCACATGTTTCAAATTTAAAATATGTGAATAACAAAAACTCCAATTGTGTTTGATTTGATTCCTGATTTGGGAACCCTAATTCTGCCTAATGACTAGGTGAATTTAGCTAACAAATGTAGGTTTCAACCTATAAAAACAATACTGTCGGGTCACGTGTTGAAAATCGTTAACGTGCACAAGCACGATGGAACACACACACACAACAAAAGAGGCGTTACAACAAGCAATAACAGCCATTTAGAAAATAATAATAATAAAAATATGGTATAAGAACTTAGAAAAGAAAAAAAGAAAATTAATGAACCTAATCTATTGATTTGAATTTAGATTTTGAAGGGTCACATCATTGGCACAGGTAAATATTTAGGTAGGGACAGAAAGTTGGGTATCAACAGCATGACATGTAGGGTGTTAAACTCAGTTTTGTTGACACCCCAAATAAAGTTAACTCCCATATAAAGCAAAAAGGCATTATTAAGATAAGTCTACTACACCCTTAATCAACATTTTACTCAAGTGCAGGATAATTATTGTTATTAATTTTGTTGAATATTTATTAGTATTATTTTTCATTTAGAAAATTTTAATGTAGTACTTTATTTAAAACTTCAATTAAGTTTAAAATTTGATAAAATTTGTTCATCCATTTCATAATAATAATAATAATAATGTAGAAGATGGAATTGAAATGATATGTTTTCTGCATTTAATTATGAGAGAATGTTAATTGTTTTATTGAGGCACATGAAAATGCTAGGTTACTATTGATAAAGACATGAGAATAGGAAAAGAATCTTTCTGTGCCACCAACCTTATCATTAGTGTTACGCCAAAATTATTTTTTTGGTAAAACCATACTTATAATTTCTAATTATCCATCAATAATATATATATATATATATATATAGTAGTTGTGTCCTATACATATCAAATAGAACAATTGCTATATACTTAAAATCATTAATGTTGGTGTCATATAAAAATAATAAAAATATTATCTGCATTTGGATTAATTTTTTTATATAATTTTGTAAAATATTTATTAATGTCATAATAATTTGTGAATAATTTAAAAATGATTATGATTTTACTGAATTTTTATTATATATGTAGATTAATAGTCCATGCATATGAAAAATAAAATTATCGAATTAAGTATCGCATTAAAAAGATTTTGAAATTTGCTAACCTTAGAATGAGATCAATTGTGTGATTTTTAATTTAATATATATATATATATATATATATATATATATATATATATATATATATATATATATAAAGTTTTGCATTGATTCTCCCTAAGATTATAACTTCACATGGAAGCATATCTGATTATGCAGATTTTGTTTTTCTTTTGAATATGATATACTATGAAGATTTTTTTTTCTTTCTTTCTTTTTTTATTTATCTCATAGCAGATTATGCAAAATAAATAAAAAATATGAATTTTATGCAGGAAATTTAAAATTTCTGTGAAACAAGAAAAATCATTCGAATATGCTTCAACCCATGTGTTATGCCTCATGAAAATAGTTCTTCAACTCAAAGATTAGCGTAGCCTAATTAAAAAATAAATAAAGAAAGAAAGAAAAGTAAAATAATTTAAAAAATAATAATAAATTGAAAACTTCAAATTTTGCATAATTTAATACAAGCTCATGTATTAAGTTTTCATTCACTAATAAATTTCTCTTTCCTAAACTTTTTCTCTTATAAACTAAAACATAAAATTTTGTATCTTATACATTCTTCCTACCAATTTATTGCATCACTAAATCAAAATTATAAAAATAATTTTACAAGTTTCAACACATTCTTTTTAGCAATTATAAAGTAAAAGTATTTCTTCAAATTTGAAGACAAAATTACATGTTTAAGTCATGAACGAAGAAAAAGGTTTTATTATTAATCATAAAATATAGATTATTTTTTAATTTTTTTACAAACTCTTCGATTTCTTTTCTTCGTATGTTTCTCTTTCTTGATTAATTAAAAAATGGTTCACAAAAACAGAAATTCTCAGTAAAAGATTTATGAAATTATATCTGAGTTCTTTAGATATAAGAGCATAAATTTGATACTTTACTGTATCATATTTGATATAATTAACTTTGAGAATTTGAATTATTGAAATATCTTGTTTTCGAGAAGAAAATAAAAATCCAGATATGATGAAGGAAATAATTTTGAAGTGTGTATAGTATTATGAACAGTATACATGCAAGGAAGTGCAATCCTAATGAAACTTTATTATAAAGCAAACATAAAAATGCAGATATGATTCGAATTTGTAACGCGTCCTGGATCCAGTACACTGCATCTGGAATCAAAATGTGGCAAACATGACTAATTCACACACTGCATCATTACTGTTTCATTTAGTGGGGGAATTGATACAACAATTCCTCTTCAACTCCACAAAAATAAATAATAAATAATAATAATAATAATAATAATACATCCCAGTTTTTAAGGGCAATTAAGGAGCTAGGACCAGCCCATGCCTCGGTTGTTAGGAGCACCATGACCCCAACACCAAAACAAGATTAGTGACTTCATCAATCACCAAAATCCAAAACCAAAATTCATGCATGGTGGACCCAACACACAAGTGTCATAATAAAAAATTAAATAAAAAAGGGTTACCAAAAACAAAATGCACCCATAATGTGAAGGGTGGTACACACAACACAACACAACACAACACAACAACACCACACCTTGTGACCTGTCCCTCTCTCACTAATCTTTATCTTTCTCTTTATCATTTAAATATATTACACTCAATATCATTCTTATTATTTTATTATTATTACCATTAATTAATCATAAAGTGATCTTCATCTACTTCCCTTAAAAGGAAAGACCCTACAAAACATTTCCAAGATCACATGCACTCGGATTATTGCATAAGAAATGGGTACTTAGATTACGAACTATTAAATAACATTATCTTTATAAAGTAGGATTAAGATTCTCCCAAACCACATCTCAAACAAGGAAACTAACTAGCCTCTCGTTTTTAGCATAAAGTGTGGGCAAAAAAGCATATTTGTAGATTGAAAGAGAATAATTAAAAGAATAACAAGGTTTCGCTTGTTATAATTATTGGTCACGTCGTCATCATCATCATCATCAATCCCTCAAGTACATTTTCCATTCTAATATTACCCAAAATCTCACGAACCCTCCCCCTAATATAATATAATATCTGCTCATGCTTCTTTCATTAGCTTTCTTCCAAGAAGAATAATAGAATAACAACATCGTTACCAATTAAGAACCCTCCTTAACACTTTCTGCCTCTATCTCTCGGACACAAGATGTGAAGAAAACAATAATTACTTATTCCATTTCTGACCGCAGAAAGAGAAAAAAAAAAAAAAGTGCAATTCTTAACTCTCATCATCTTCTCCCAACCAAAAAGAACACTAAAACAAAATAACACAAGATAGAGAGCACAAAGCAAAGCAAATCCAATCCCAAAGACCAAAAGTGAGAGAGTGAGAAGAACAAAAGCCAAAAGAGAGAAAAAGAACAAACAAATGAGGTTGGAGTAATAGAAGTACTAAATAATCATTATTACTTAACACTAAACATTTAACTTCAAGAACTAAGCAGCAGAATGAAACGACAAAACTAAATTCCCTAAGGGTATCAACAAAATCAAATCTCTCCCATGTTAAGAAGGTGATCATCTCATTAATTAACCAAAACTAAACGATTAAATCAAAATAGGAAAAAAAAAACAAAAGGAAAAACAACTAATTAAGTAATTAACCGGTACCACCTCTTAATTACTCTATCGACTAAACATATCATTATTCTCATATTTTTTTTATTTTTTTCAAGAAGAAGAAGAAGACCCATTTGTTCCACCACCGTTTGTTCCACTATCATTCTCGTACTCGTTCGCATCGTGAGAAGAACCGGGGTTGTGGTTGTGGTCGTCGTTGCTGTTACCGTTGATTCCGCCGCGTTCATGTTCGAGGACATCAACGTTGCTTCTGACGGTAGCGCTGATTACTGTGGGAACATGGTTAATCCCGTTGGCACTGACGAGACCAGCACTACCATTAAGGTTGTCTTTTTTGGCGAAAGTATTCTTGTTGTTGTGCATCCACACTTTGAGAACTCCTCTGTCGACACCAACCTCGTTGCAAAACTCCATAACCATGTCTTCGTCGCGCTTCTGCATCTTCCACCCCACTTTGTCGGCGAACTCGTGCATCTTCTCTTTCTGCTCCTGGGTGAATTTCGTGCGGAAGCGCTTCCGGGAGTGGTGAGCCTGAGCCGGCGCGGCTGTGTTTTCCGGCGCGACGGAGAGGCCGCTGCCTCCGGCGAGGGCGAGGAGCATGTGGGGTGCCGACGGGTAGGAGGAGATCGGCGGCGGGGAGGCGGAGTTAGGACTCCGGTGTGAAGGAACCGGCGGCGGAGGGTGGTGACGGTGATGGGGCTGGTACTCCAGAACATGATGCGTTGCCGGGGAAATTGGCGGCTCCTCGGGCTCGCGGCGGTGGAAGTTGCGGTGGCAGCCGCAGGCGGCGCATTTGATGGAGCTGGGGTCGTCGGCGGTGGCCGCCGGAGACGGCATGAACTCGCCGCAGCCGTCGAGGGCGTGGCCACCTAAGCTCGCCACGTGGTTCTTCAAGCATTCCTTGTAAACCACGGCGGTGACGCGGTGGTTTGCATGGTGGCGCTTCAAGACCCCGTTGGAGAAAGACACCGGCTTTGGACTCGGATTCGGGTTTCCGACGGCTTGGTGGATCCGGGTCGGAGTCTCTATGTCGGGTTCCGGCGATTTCGCGGCTGTGTTTGTCGTAGTGACGGCTGTTGTTGGTGGCGTTGGTGTTATTATCTCCATCCTCCTAATAACAACGATAATAATAACAATTAAACCAAAACCTCCACTTTTTGTGACGGCTTCATCAAAAGCGTTGCTGAAACTGAAAAATGGGGTTTGTTGCTTATGTTGTTACGTGGAGAGAACAAAATTGAAGAAGAGAAGAAAAAAAAAAAAAAAAAAAGGTTATGACTGTTTCTTGTGTAGAAATTGGAAGAAAGATGGAGAAAAAAATTGAAGAGAAGAGGAGAGGAAAGAAGAAGAAGACGACGATGTTGATGATGTTTTGAGTGAGGACTGTTGATAATGTGGTTGTCCCTTCTTAACCACTTGTTTTTTTAACCCTGGTTCTAATCTATGGTTAAGTTATTGACCCTACTTGGGGGTTAGATGTGAGTAATAAATATACCCTCCCATCTCCTACTGTACTATTTATTACTTCTACTTATTATTATTTTGTCAAGGTAATGATGTTAATATATTTAGTCTATTAAAAAATAATAGTATTTATTAAGAGTTAGGCATTTCATGTCTAAAAAAATTATTTCAATAAAACAATAAAAATCATTACAATCAAATTATAACATATATCAGATTTTAATTTGTACATGTTACCAATAAAAAGAAATGTACACGATAAAAGAAACAAAACATTATAGTTGGTTTGAACATAAATCTTACAAAAATAAAATGTAAAGAATGGTTTTAGTGTTATTTTATAATCTTATTTATGAAGCAGAATAATGAATGAGGAGGAGTGGAAGAAAGGAAAGAATGTTGAGTTGACCCTTTGCAATGGCTGTAACCCATGTTATGTTAATTTGTCAGGCTGGCATTGAAGGACAGCTTCCATAGTTAAAATCATTATTGTGCTTCTTTTAGGGAACCCAATCCAACTTCCACTACTTAATCTATGTACATTTACTTTACTTATCTTTAATCACAAACTTTAACCATCTAATCCCACTATCAATCGCATATTAATCATTAAATTATACTTTAGGTTTCAATTAAACATTTATTTTAATTTTAATTTTTTTATTTTACTATATTGTTCATTTTGTTAAAAATAATACATTTTTTAAGCCTGTGTATATTCATTTTTACTTCTTATTTATCTACATACATTAGTAATCCTCATCTTCAACTCTTTTTTTCTCAATTTTCTTTTCACTCTTCATTGGAGAGGCAATAAAGGGGAGTGGCATGGTACGAGAAATAGGAATCATTAATGAAATGAAACGAAAGAAAATATATTTGATTTTATTGCTCTTTTTTATTTCGTACTTTTAGTTTTTGGTGTTTATTTTGCTTTTATATCTCATAAAATTTAATATTTAACTTTTATACTCTAATATAAAAATGTTAATTGGAGACTAAATATAGAATAGCATATTAATATTTTTAAAAATGCTAAAACATAAACAGATTTAAGACTATGGAATAGTATAATTATCTTAAACATTATTAAATAATAGTTAATTTCATATTTTATTTCATTCAATCTTAACGATGCAAGGTATTGTTTTGTGTATTATTTTGACATAAATGCCCTTAGCGATTGAGATTATTACTAGTTGCATGAACCGTCATTACTGGTCAACCATAGTTACTTATAATCACAATTAAGGACGTAAGAGGAATTCAAATCACCTGACACGTGTGTTAATAGAGAACCACATCATAACACGTGTGAGTCAGCCATGCAGAAACCAAAGTCAAAGTTATTAAACACTGTAGAAGTTACTTAAAGAATAGGTGAATGAAGAGTTATGGCATTAATGGAGTAATTAATTGAGAAATAAAAGAATAAAATTAATTCAATTAAGTTTTAGTTTTTTTTCTTCTTCTTCGCTAAAACATTTATAATATAATTTTTACTTTATTTCTTACCTATTTTTACTCATCATTTTCTTTTACAATTAATCTTTCTCTTTTTACTAAATAAAACATTAAAAAAAACATGTTCTTGAACAAATTATAAAAAAAATGTTTTTTAAACACCTCTTATTTATAATCATATGATAATATAAAAAAAATGACAATTATAAAAAGTGTGTGTTTTCTTTTCTACGCTATTACTTAGAAATACAAATCATTAAAAAAATTATTATTTTAAAGAATTCTCATATTTTTGGTGACATGAGCAAACCAATGAAGCAGTATATGCATTCAAACTCACCATTCACTATTCTAACCCAAACACAACACAACTGTCAACCTAAGGAATCTTTTTATTAACTAAAATAGAAAATAATTATTATAAGGACATGCTAACAAGATTTTGAAATACAATACAATAAAATAAATAAAATATAAAAATTAGACTAACTCATTTTTCTTGATTTACTATTTTATTTTTTATCATAAATTGGTGAAAACAAATGTTAATATTTCAGGATTAATTTTAATCATTTAAAAATAATAAATTATGTCATAAAAAATTGTTTATGAATATTTTTTTTATTTAATTAGTGATTCCTAAAAAAATTGTACCATTTAGCCCCTTACATTAACCTTAAACAGATTATGTATAAAATAAGATTACCCTAAATTAAATTAAATGGGCCGTTTAACTCAATATTTATGAGCCCAAACACAACTTAAGGCAAATTTGATGCCTTCTTATTACATTTATATGAGTAGAGTCACAATAATTAGTTATTTTTTTATGAGTTTTTCTAAAAATAAAACTTTCATGAATTTTGAAATAAATTTCAGTTGGTAATTTGATTTAATGAACTTCGATATTTTTCGACCAAATCTTTTCAATCTGTAATTTATTTAAGGGTTTAACACATTCTAAAACTTAAAATGTACTATGAAACAAACAGTGAAATATTCTACAAATTTCTGTTAACTACCAATTAAATATCTCATGGAAATTGGTATGATTAATGTATTTAGTACTATATGAAACATAAAAAAAATTAAAATAATTATTGCTACAATTTGTTAAGATAAAAACTATGATTTTTATTTTTTTTAAGAAAAATGTTCTTAAAAGAAATTGAGAGTTACTTTATTTTAAGATGATTATGTATAATTAATATATATAAAATAGATAACATTAGATTCATTTATTTCACCTTATAAAAAAACAAATACGAGTTTAAATATTTAGGAATATTTAACCTAGTTTATGAAAATTGCATAATAATTCACCCTTTGGTGAAATGGGCCTTTTAACTTAATATTTTACGTGAGCCCAAAATCAACTTGAGTCGATCTAAGACAAGTTTCATTAGTATGGTAGCATCTAGATTGTACATGACAACTTTTTTATGAGAAACTTGTTAAAAAAACATAAAAAAGATTATATATAAAATAATGTGTAGTATTAATTGATTGATAGAAGTTTTAGCTGCATAAAAAAGGAAAAAAGAAAGCTAAAATAATTATTAATCCTATCAATATTAAAAATAAGATCATATTCTAATATCGGAATCAATAAAAAATAATATATGTATAAATAAGAAATAAAATAAAACTTAATTAATTATAAATAAACATTAGTTAATTGTAATGATAAAATTATTAAATAGTATAAAAATAAATAAGTAATTTTTTTAATTTGAAAATTTATTACAAACAATTAATTAGTTTAAAAATTTTAAAAATAAATAATATGAGTTTCTCATTAACAAAATCTATAGATTTTACATGTGTTTAAATTTATTAAAAAATTATTTATATATTAAGGTATAGTTTGAGATAAAGTTATATATATTTAATATGATAAAAATATGACATTTTGACACATAAATGATTTAACTACATATTAAAAAATTTCAAAATGTTTTCAGTTGATGCATCCATGTGATGACCTGAAAACGTATTGAAATATGTATTAACAAGAAAGATTAAAGTTATATATATATTTAATATGATAAAAATAAGTACATTATGACTTTTTAAATAATAAAATTTTAAAGTATAATAAAAAAATGATTTTTTTTATATATAATTGATTTAACTACATATAAAAATATGAATATAAAATTTTAAAGTAAGTACACATGTGTTATAGCTTTGAAAACTTATTAAAATGTGTATCATTAAGCATTTTAGGTTTTAAAATTATAATATTTTAAAATATAAAAAAATTACACATAGCTAATTTAATTACATATTAAAATATCAAAGTGTTTTCAGTTAGTACACTCATTTAATATCTAAAAACACATTAAAGCATGAATCATTGAGAAAGATCATACTACTTTTTTCATAAGTATTTTTTTTATCCTTTTAATGATAAGATTTTTAAATATAATAAAGAATGAATTTTTAACATATATATGCCTTAGGTACAAACTAAAATATCATAATGTCTTTGGTAACTGCACTCTAAAGATTAGTCTAAAAATGATTAAGGCAAAATAATGTGACTTCTTTTTTATTAACAGAGTTTCACTCTATCTATCTATCTATCTATCTATCTCTCTCTCTCTCTCTCTCTCTATATATATATATATATATATATATATATATATATATATATATTTTAAGGTTAAATAAATTATTTTTGAATATTTATTGTAAAATTAACTTATTTATCTAATTATATATTGAAACATTTAAAATATTTTTAATTTAAGTAAGTAAATTCATTTATAATATTAATTAGTCTAAAAATGACTAAGACGAAGATAACATGATTCTTCCTTCTTTAAGACTTTTATACTTTATATATATATATATATATATATATATATATATATATATATATATATAAATTTTAAGTTCAAGTAAACTATATATAAATATTTATTATAAAAGACAACTTATTCATTTTATTATAAATGAAATATCATAGTCTTTTTAGTTTAGAATAAAACTTAAGAGTGAGTAAATTTATTTATAATATTTATTATAAAAAATATATAATTGTAGACTAAAATATAACTGTCAATATATACATCTACTGATCACTTTCAAAATATATTGACATGTGTATGTGTATGCGTAAGAGAAATCATAATATTTTATGATAATGACATTCAAACTTTTTAAATGAAAAC